GTTGCATGGTGATATATTTAGGAGAGCAAGTGCCCCTCTCATTTCATATTTCAATATACCCATATTAATTCAAAGGTATATCAACATTTTTGACAATTCTCTTAATAACTAAGAAAGGTAGCTAAAAATACAAAATGAATTCAAATAAAATACAAAATTTCCCATTTTGGAGCTGCCTTGAATGCTGCCCTCTAAAACTTTGTAATTAATTGGTGCATAAAGGATCTACTACAGTACTCCAGAGATCAATACTGCCTCTCAAATATTTCCTGAGTGGACCTGCCTTGATAAAACTGCTTTCATTTCACTTAATTGCTCTGAATGATTCTGGGAAATCATGTAAGTTGTGCTTAGAAAGAGTTGGAAACCTTTCTGTATTCCTAAAATTGATTTTAAGTCTAATACTGGTACATAAATCAATTCAATTGCTCTAAATTTTATAAAATGTACTGAGAAATGTTGTATCATCAGCAGAGCCCTTATCTATATAACCAACTCCACCCTTCCTCAGTCTGCACAGGAGCAGACTGAGGGCTATATTAAATAAAACAGGGGTCACCCCATATGAACTCATGGCAAACTGGGATAAAATTGGCACTATGAATGCTTGTAAAAGTATTGTTGGAACAGTTTTGATCAAGGACGCTGTTCCTATAAAATACTCACTGACAAAATGTCTTCTGAGAAGCCTGAAAAAAAGGCTATGATGACCTATCAAGACTAATCCCATAGCAAGATCTACAAATCAGATGAGTTAATCCCCATTTCATTTTGCCCTTTTTAGAAAATGTAAATGATCAGTATGCTTCCTTTGAATCCGGGAGTTACTATGAAACTGATTTGATGGCCATGAATCTTTAGCAAGAGCTTTACATAGATTTCTAAAAAGTGTCAGGATTTTAGGACAGTCTTAAATGGTGACCCACTAGTAAAAGCTCTACTTAGAGGTTTAAGACCTACTCCTAATCATCTAATTTAGGAATGAACAAAGGACTTCTAGGTGACCAAATCCGGTCCTCTTTTATTGCAGGCAACAATGTCATGCCACAATTAGTTGTGGTGCTCCAGAACTTGGAGTAAACTAAACCATAGTTTACTCCAATATTAAAAATTCCTGTTATAATTTCGGCAGGCAACCTAAATTCCCCTAAGACCAATTAACTTTTACCCCCTTGGAAGCAGGTAAATTGTTCTTATGAGTTACCACAAGAGTGTTTAACTTTTACCTCAGAGAAAGCTTTCATTAAGGGGGATTCAGGATTGGCCCCAATACATACATACACACAAAATACACGAACAATTCTGGGACCAGGGACCAAAAGCCAGGTATCCCCCCTCCCAGACAAGAGCTGTAACCACTAATCTATTAAATGAATTTAAATCACCTCAGGCAAAGAGGGTAATTGAACACTGATCTCCCAAATCCTGGACTAGCGCTCTACACCCTAAGCATTATAAAAGAGGTGCCACTAGCACCACCAACTCCCCTAGGTACTGATCTTCAGGAGAGGATTCAAGGTTGTTAATTCTGAATCGAGGAAGCTGCCTCCCTGAAGCCATGAGTAAGGTACCTCAAGTGTATGAGACTTGCTCATTCCCTCAGCATTTCTCTACTGCTAAGCTTTTGCAAACGCATACTGAGCATGCTTCCTTTAGGCAACTTCCTGCTCAGAATGGGATCCACACTAGCCAGCACTCTCAAGTGCCTTATTCTGTACACCCCACTGCAAATGGAATGCTGGTGCCTAACACAGGGTTCCAGTTTCAGTTTTTCAAGCCAAGAGCCTAAAATTTAGCGCATCTATGTTTTAGGTGCCTAAAGCCAAAGTAATTTATTGGTCTAGGCTAACGTATGCCAGAATATCATATCAAATCCTGGTACAAATAAGGGGTGCCTGTACACATGCAGGGAGGCTGTTCTGACACGCTGCAATTACAGTGTGTCAGAGCAAACTCTATTAACTGAGTCTGCTGGAGCACGCTAATTAGCATGCTCCAGCCAGCCTCTGTGGCTCATGTATCAGCATCCCCGTGCTTCAAAATGGCAGCAGGGGCACTTTAACTAAAGCTTGTTCAATGTTCTTTAGTTAAAGTGCCCCCACCACCATTTTGAAGCACAGGGATGCTGATACACGAGACACTGTGGGTGCTTTAATTAGAATGGCTCTCAGAGCCGCTCCCCCCCACCCCAGGAGCATATGTAAAAAGATAAATCTATACACAATTCTGATATGTGCAATCTTATTTGTATTTTGTTTTTCCCTCTGATCAAGCGGCTTTCTACTGGTAAATCACCAATATATCATGAAATTTATGATAGGGTAGTGTGACTTCTTACTATGTCCCCCCTGCCACCTATCACAGAGCCTGAGCTACTCACAGCAGGTGGCAGGGAGGCTGCAAGCAGCTACACTGAGGTCTGCAGAGCCCCAGCCTGGTTTGTTGCTGGCAGCAGGTGCATGTGTGCCTCTAGACATATTGCATGGGAACCTCAAGGGGCCTGATCTTTGCTGTGGCAGCGGAGCCCTGGTCCCTTCCCCACCATCTCCCCCAAGGTACACGTACTAAATCAAATGCCTCTGCATGACACACTGGCACACGTGCCGGGGGTTGCCAACCCCTGCTCTAGATTCATAGATTGTAGATCATCGGATCCAGTCCCCTTGCCTAGGCAGGAAAAGACAACTGGGGTCAAGTGACCCCAGCAAGGTGACTGTCCAGTCAATCTTTTGAAGATTTCCAGGGTAGGTAACTGCACCACCACTGGGGGGAGTTTATTCCAGTCTGGACACCCTGACTGTGAAGCATTTTTTCCTGGAATTGAGCCTGAAGTGGCCTTCCAGGAGTCTGTATCCATTGCTCCTGGTCTTCCCCAGGGGTGCCCTGGTGAACAGCTGTTCACCGAGTTCTTGATGTACTCCCCTGATGTAGCGGTAACCTGCTACCAAGTCCTCTCTCAGCCTTCTCTTTTGTAGGCTGAAGAGGCTGAAGTCCCTCAGCCTCTCCTTGTATGGCTTGTCTTCCAAACTTTATAGTTCTTTATCCACTCTAATAGGGGCTGGCTAGCAATCCTACCAACCTAACTCAAGATGTAATCTCATTGGCTGCTTACAGGCATTAAAAACAAAAATCAAAAACAAAAACCTAGCACTTTACTTAAAATTCCACACACCCCTGAGCCGAGCCCAGTGCATGCCCAGAAGAGACAGTGTTAGTTGGACCCAGCTTGCCTACTGTCTATATAGATTTGGCGCTTCAGCAGGGCTTTTATGACACTTTTATCTAATAACTGATTGAATCAACTTCAGATAAAAGCTCCAAAAAACCCCGCTGAAGGACCCAATCTATACAGATGCTGTGGAGCCAGATCAAACTAACCTTCTGCCTCTTCCAGTAAAGCACTTTTTTTCCCCCACGTTTGTCAGCGCCCACCTTTAGCAACATATATTGTGATCTTAGCCCCAAGGGAACTCAATTACTGAGGGCATAGGAACAAGCCATCCTCATGTGCAGGAAGAATAGCAAGTGTGGCAAGAGACCAGCTTGGCTTAGCAGAGAACTCTTTGGGAGCTTAAACACAAAAAGGAAGCTTACAAGAAGTGGAAACTTGGACAAATAGCTTAGGAGGACTATAAGAATATTGCTCGGGAATGAAGGGATGAAGTCAGAAAGGCCGAAGTGCAATTGGAGTTGCAGCTAGCAAGCGACATGAAGGGTAACAAGAAGGGTTTCTACAAGTATGTTAGCAACAACAGGAAGGTCTCAGGCATGCAATTAAAACATATCAGATATTGCTACAGATCTAAGAGGGGGGGAAAAAAGCAACTGACCAACATCTGGCAAATAAATCTAGTGGCCAATTCTTGGATATCTTGTTTAGTATAGTAATCCTGAACATTCTCGATAAAGGCTACTACAGTGGAGTCGCATCTTACACGGGGGTTAGGTTCTAAACTCAGTGCGTAAGGCGAAAATCGCGTATAGTCAAAATTACCTGGTCCTACCTTGGTGACTGGTGTCTCCTGGGTCTGGGGGGCACCCGGGGTCCCCCTGTGGCCGATCTGATTGCCGAGCAGGGAGGGCCCTCAGCGTGCTCCCTGGAGGACCTGGAAGTGGACCGGAATGGCGGGCGGAATCGCCCACACTATTTAAATTGTTATTTTTCTCTTTTTCTTTTTTTTTTTTGCCGAGCACGTATAGTTGAATTCGTGTAAGTTAACTGCGTATATGATGCGACTCCACTGTACTACCAGTACTACAACTCTATGCAATCAAAAATGTAAGAAATAGGGGTGCCTATATATGAGCAGGGAGGCTGCTCCAATATGCTGTAAATCCAGTGCATCAGAGGAGACTCGATTAATTAATTCTCCTGGAGTGTGGCAAGTACGGTGCTCCAACAACCTCCTGTGCCTTGTACATCAGCATCCATGCACTTCACAATGGTGGCGGGGCGCTTTATCTAAAGTTTGTTCAACTAGCTTTAGAAAAAGTGCCCCTGCCACCATTTTGAAGCGCAGGGACACTGATACGCAAGATGCTCCAGACGCCCTAGGTTAATAATAACAGCAGTTCTTCACACAATGTCTGTGAATGCCCATACTCCACCCAACCACCTTCCTTATTTCTTTTGAACCGATTAGAAGAGATCTGTTTCTGGGGAAACAAACCAAAATAGATGGGGCTGTGGTTCCTTTTAAAATCCAAATGCACAAGGTCCCTAATGTTTACTCCCCCTCACCCCGCCACAAGCATGCGTCCTACATCACATGCATATAGATTTGTGGGGCAAGCATTGCAAAGAACTACAGTTACTAGGACCTCTTTTTTCTACTTGCAAACAGTTCTGTTTTACAACAGGAAGAATCTAAAATGTGTCTTAATTCCCTGAAATACAGTCTCCAAGAAAAAACTTAGTTACTTCTAAGGATTTTGGCACAAAGGTTACATCAAAATGTGGCTAAAAATAAGAGTCACAAACTAGTTTAGATCAGTCTTACTCAATAGTCGTCTGATCCAACACTCCTGTGACTGGGATCCCATAAAACTGCTGCATAGTGGCAACTGCCGTTTGCATAGCTTTTCCTGATTGCAGAGCCGACATTCGACTGTCAGAGGGAAGCAAATAGCCATATGTTTTTAACCAACTCTGAAAAACAAAAGAAACAAAAATCATAAACTGCAATGTAGTCCATTCTTTAAGTTTATATAAGCAGATGAAAACATCATCAAGATTTTTTTCCTTAGTTTTGGAAACATTAATTTTATGTAAACACTAACAACAGAAATTCATGGATCTTTTTCCTCTTTGGTGTTTCTTGTTTTAATTGAGCTTGGTGAATTGCTGTGGTAACTGTGAGGAGTTAATTGCCCAAGTTAAAATCAGCTGTGATGAAGGCAGGCTTTAAACAAACTTTCTATTAGATTTGGGAGGAGTCTTCACTGCGAAGAACTGTCACATATTTGGCCCATTAGTATACAAATCATAGTAATGCGTGTCCCATTTCTACAAATGTGCTAGACGAAGTGGGATATAAATCTAATAATAATGGTAATAATAATAATAATAATATGCAAAACAATTTCTGAATAAAGCTTACACACCTGCTTTCTCCACAGCCCCCTTAACTGTCCCTAATTACCCTGCCAATTACTAACCTCCTTGCCTGAGGACATCTCAGCAACAGGTACCTCCAGCACAGGTACATCTATTTATGCCTTTCCCATCAATAATAAACTGCCCTCCCATTACCTGCTTCTGTACCAGGAGGCAAGGAAAATAGCTGATGTATCTAAACAGCTCTCACAGAGACTAATGCAAGAGAATGTGTAACTTTTTTGTATGTATATTTTAACATGTAAAGAGTATTGTGTGGTTGTTTGTGGGACTTTGTTTTTTTCTTAAGTGGAAAATTCCATCCTCCCACTTCCCCCAGCAAAAATTTTGAAAACCACTTAAATGACTTGGGAACATAAGCCTGCTGCGGCAAGGAGGAAATAAAGAAAGTATGAACAGTACAATAAGCAGCTGTCAGAGTATACCACTTTCTTCTTTAGGTGTTATGAGCTTTAATAACGTATTAAAAGAAGGATGATATGGTAACCTTGTGGATATTTTTAAAAGTTCTCCTCCCAAGGACAGGGGTCAGGAATGACATGAGAGGAAGCACAAAAGTATTTGTAGAAAAACCTACTAAGCCAGATACTAAGACGCACACGGCTTCTCCCTGCCTCTCCATAAATATTTCAATACAAAATGAATGAGTTAGGATCCTTCATCAACTATTTTCAAAGCAGAGATAACCAGTTTCATTTTGATGCAGTGGAAGAGGAAGGAATGAAGTCAGTATGAAGCTGACAAGAGCAAACCAGGAAAGTGATCATTGGAGCAGTGTTTTGAATGGATGCAAGTAGGGTAAGAGTTCATATATCACGGCCAGAGAAGGAGGCTCAAGTAGACCGGGGATAAAATAATGACTCTGAGAGAAAAAGCCGGATCATAAATGATGTAAAGAAAATGTCAAGATTTAGACATAGCTGGGAAGGGGAGAGGGGGAGAAATTAGATACAGGGCTCAGTCAAAGAACAATAATGGCCCAGGTGACAGGGATGATGATGTTATTCCTGTTTCGGCAATTCTGAATTTAAGATGATACCTTTGTGGATATAAAAGAAAGGTAAGCCAACATTTTATGGCTTGGATGGAAGGCAACAGGCTCAGAGTAGAGAGGTAACTTCCCAGGCCAGAGCTTTAAGTGTTAATTTCCAGATCTACTAAAGGCTTCTTGCGAGATCTGTCAAAACCAGACGTTGAAGACTCAGCTACCATTCAGTCCTATAAATAAGGACCAAGATTTTCAGAAAAACTTTAGAATAAGTATCACAATGGCACTCGCTGAGTCAGGGACACTTAAAAATCTGATTCCAAATGCAGATGCTGAGCACTTTAAAAGTCTAATGAAAGATTTCCATGCCACTGTTCTCCATCTGTAGATTAGGGATATGTTTTCTTTAACAGAACTAGTTTGAATAGCCAGTTACCCCGTGAAAACAGGATGGATTAATTTAAATCACAACAATTAAAATCAGTTATCTAAAGTATGATTTAAAGTAAAAGCCCCACTGGTATAATCTTTTCCATTTTTTCAAAAACGGCAATTTTTCTTGGTTGACATACCTATGAGAATATACACACGTTCTGTTAAATGTTGTTAAATATGTACAGCCTGCCCTCATAGCTAGCAAAATGGTTATCAAATCTTGCGTAAATAAGTGAGTGAGTGTGTGCAGTGGCGTACTGAGGGGGAGGTGGGGGGACCATGGCCCCCAGATGCCAACCTGGGTGTGGGCACCGGCCAGGCCACAGCACCTCCCGCATTTGGTGTGTAGTTTGCCTGCCAGGGTGTAAGTTTCATTAGCTGACCTGGCCAGAGATCCTGGCCGCTGTCCACCCACACACACACTTTACAGGAGAGGAGGTTTGGTGCACCATTTTGCTAGCTAGAAGGGCAAGCTGAACACATTTGTTTAAGCTTGATGTTGAGACAATTTTACCAACTTTACACTTCTAGTATGTCAGAAAGTAGTAAGGCTGCTTTATGCACTAAATAATTCAATTTGCCTCCTAATTTCCACTAAGCAGCCCCACTGAAACAGGTGAAGGAGCCAATCCAGGGGGGCTATGGGGATGATCCTGGACACCATGGTTTCTCCTGGATTCAAAAGCCAAGTCCCAGAGGGTCTGTTTGGTGTGCTCCAAAGGCTGTCCCCCGTGTCCCCCGCTTCGCCCGGCACAGGGGGAAGGCCCGGGCTCGGGCCTTTCTCGGGCGGCAGCCGCGGCGCTCGCGGATTTGTGTTTCCGTTTCAGTGGTGGAAAATCCGTTTTTTCACGCGTGGCTCGACGGGGACGCGCGCGGTCTCCGCAGTGCAAACAGCGCTGCTCGGGGCAGGGACGCGCGCACCGCCCGCGCCAGCTGCCCGGCCCCGGCC